TTGTCGAACACCACCGTCCTCGGAACAGTCTAGAACAATAATTTTTAAAATTAAAAAAAAAAAAAAAAAAAGCGATTGCCATATGGCGCCATTTAGTTGGGCCACGTGGAGAAAGTTAAAAATGGTAGCCAGCTGAGCTAGTAGCGAAATATTACCTGGACAGAGGCCCAGCCTTTTGCCAAGTCATTAGCCTCCGTGTCAGTTTCATTAATCCAACCCCACAAAATTCTCCTCTCCTTATTTTGGTCATAAAATGTCTTGGAAGCATAATACCTTCCATAATCCAATTTCAACCCGATTCCCACGTCCTCTTCCGGGTTATCGGGTACCCATGTATCATTATTCCCAAAATACGTCCCAATTGCGTAATGGTCCAATTTAGTATCATCCAAGCTTGCTTTCAGCACGTGTTTCACTCCCGCTCCATTTACCGACGTATCCAAACCCTTCGACCCATCCACCGATACCGGGTAAAAATCGACACATTCCCACATACCAGTACCCGGGACAGCATGCAAATATCTATCCAATAGCTCGTACTTGATAAAATCATCAGTAGTATAAACTAACGCAATGCCCAACGTCGTCCCGACTCGTGACCCAATAGTGATCCGCCACTTGCCGTCGGGGCCAAGCCACGCGGTAGTCGGGTCCCGGAAGTCCTTAGGGCCAATGCCAGGTGGAGGAACCAACACCGGGTTGCCCGGGAATTTGACCCAATTTAATAACAGGGGATCCGATAAGTTGGCAGGGTATGCAAGATTTTGGACCTGCACCCCATCAATGGTGTCGCCGGTGTAGAGCATTACGATCCGACCGTCAGGAAGGATTGTGGCGGATCCGGTCCAGACGCCGTTGACATCGTAGGGCTGATCAGGGACCATGGAGTAGGGGAGATATAACCAATGGATGAGATCTCGAGACACGGCGTGGCCCCAGCTTATGTTGCCCCACACCGCTGATTCTGGGTTGTATTGATAAAACAGGTGATACCAACCCTTGTGATACAGTGGACCTGCAAACACACAAATATTCTCACCACTTTTATTTTTATTTTTATTCTTGCTTTTTAAACCACGTGGAAAATAGAAACAAAACCAACATTTTTCACACAAAACAAAAAGAAAAAAAAGAAAAAAAAAAGAGAAAAGTGAAATATATTAATTAATAATTACCTTGAATCTAAGATTTTAATAATTAAAGTGGCGTGGCTGAGTTGTACTTCAATTATTATTCTTTTACATTATTTATTTTATTATCCATTCATCGAAATTAATTATTTAATTTATTTCATTAAAAAAAACCTAAATCGAGATATTCATAAGAAATTTCTATTAAAATTTAAAACTTTAACATGAATATATTAAATTATTTTCATTTATAATTTGAGATTTAAAATTAAAAAAATTATTATATTTGGAAATGAAACAAATACATCCAGAAGCCCATTCCACCGTGGTGGCAATGACGTGTACAGTTCTAGACCGAGTAATACGTGGGACCCACGTGACAAAACCAAGCCAGACTTTTACATGTTCTTGACCTTATTTAATTGGTGGATAGACAACAACTAAAAAGCATACCGTCTTTCTAAAATATTTTATTTATAAATTAGATCTTTAACCCTACTTAATAATAATATTAATATTAATATTGTCCACTTTAAACATCGAGTCTCGTGGTTAAAATCAAGAGAGAGTATTTTTTTTATTATAAACTCGCCGGTAAAACCCCTAATATTTAGGAGTTAAATTTGCTAAATCAGTGGTTAAATTACCCAAAACAATTTGATTGACTAATTACAAAATTAAAGGAAAAGGAAAGTAAAAAAGCGACGTACCATTTGGATCTGCAGCGGCGTGGAATCCGGCCAATCAAGTGCCAGCGAACACAAATTACAGTCAATTATCAGAATTTGTGTCGGAAAATGATTTTTAAAAAAATTAAGAAATAAATTGGGGGGAAATTACCGTTCATCCAATTGCCTTCCGGTTGGAAATGGAAGGCGGTTCGTTGCCAGGAGAACATCGCGTTGGTCCAGTTGAATGAACCGGCTGAACCGGCCGAATCGGAGACATATGGGTAGGATTTGGCGGAGACGCCTTCCGCCACGCCTCTGGGTAGTCTGAAAGCCGGCGGGGATGGGGTGGCTGCCGGAGATGCGGTGTGATCGGGAATCAGAGTAATGAGAGAGACGAGAAGAAGAAGAGAGACGATGGTGGCGATAGTGAGGTTGAGGGGTTTTCGGGACGGTGGGGACGGAGGTGGGTGGTCCGGCAACGCCGTGTACGGCGGCGGGTTGAGATCTGAAGCTGTATCCATTAAGGGGATTTGAAAAGAGGTGTTGTGGTGGAATTGGGAGATGTGATTTTAAAGAAGAAGGGGGAACAGTGGGTTTGTGTATCACGTGATTTGGTAAGTGTATAGAGATGTAGATGGAAAATAATTGACGAAGGGACAGCGAGGCAAATTTGTATGGTTTAGCTCCCAAAAGCAACACTACGTTCATTTCTCGTGGGACCTAAAGTTACCTTTAAAGTATCACCGATTCTAAAATGAACCAATTGTTTATCAATTGATTATATCTTTATAAATTTGGTCGATACCAAATTTTAAAGAGACGTATCACTGACAAGAAAATGAATTGGGTCATGCAGTTTTGTGAGATAGAAAGACGGTATTTTTTGTTGGCCTTATTTCAAGATTCGTACATGTGTTAGGAGGTTGAAATTTTTGACATGGGACCTAGTTTGTTCTCTATGTATAAGAGTAGGTGGGTAATTGGTCAAATTTTCTAACGAGCGATCAACGCAATCTCGAAGAAGATGGTAGATCACTTAAGAAAGATTGGTTGCTTGCTGAGTCTCGATGATGGTTTTCGGGTTTATAAGAATGTTTTCTAGACACTTTTAAGAATGTCTCAATTCAAGATTGAATGCAGAAAGACGTGTCATAGTAAAATTATAGCATATAAAATCTTTAAAACATTTCAAAAGTTTGGTCACTCAATCATATTGCATATCTATTTGTGTCGTTCTTGCATGATGTATTGTAGGGTAGTTTTAATTTGCGAAAAAAAATTAAGAAATTTGTTAGTGCTTCCTCTCGTAAAACAGTCTTCACATGTCCACTTCATTTACTGCAACAAAAGAATTGAACAGCTTGATGCTTAAGGTTCTTCGGATCAAATAAACCCTCTTCAAGTTGTTCTTTCTTATTAAAATATTTATTTTGATGTACTTCGATCGAGAGTCAAAACCAACATATATCGATTGAAAACGTCAGTAGATATTACGTATTTAGATATCGCTAACGGTTTTTGTCAACCCTTCCTATCCTATCTTAATTTGTTTTATGGATATAATCTTAGCCTTGAGAGCTACACATCCTAAACGATAAGATGTTAGCAGTTTTAAAAACACACGGAGGCTAAAAGTCTTAAGACCTCTGTGTAATTATTAAAGGAATAATAATAATTTATCTCTTTCTTAAAATGGACAAAAGTTGAGTCGTGAGAATTTAAACATTGTTTATATGTTTAACGATTTAAACCATTGTTTATGACCTATAATGTGCTCTCTACATCTCGAACACATGCATTCTAAATGCATCCAACCGTCAGTGCAATAAACTTTTGTCTTAAGTTCTAACGTGTTTTTTATCAAGCATGTGACGAGTTATCTCAACAACATATGAACATGTTATCAAAACATACGGTCGGAAAATGAAAAATAATAACATGTTTTTTTTTATAATATATTATTTTTTACCGAACATCAATTATGTATAATTACCCAAACATGAATTATACTAATTTTGACATGTGCTTTTAATAATTATTAATAATAAATAAAATATTTTAATAAGAGAGACATTATTAATTTAATGAGGTAGGATTATTAAATGTTAAATGATGTCATATCTATCGATAAAAATATCTCGGGATGGAAAAGGTTCTCCCAAATTATATGATTGGTTGGGTTGGGTTTAAAAAAATTTCGAGTTTGGGTTGGGTTCGTTTTTTTTGGAATCCCATCCGGTTCGGGTTGGGTTAGGGTACAAAATTCAAATTATTGGACATCCCTATCCAACTTGAAAATCTTTATAAAAAAATAAAAAGCCCAAGCCCAATCCCAAGCCCACACCCACGCAACCCAAGCCCATGAGTCACGTTGTCTGCCCCTACACTTGGCAGGTCTATACTCTGTTCAGAGTTTCTCTCTCTACTCATCGATAACGAAATCAAGTCTCTACAAACTTTATATCGAGACGAGTTCTATTAGATCTAACTTGTAATTGAGGATGTCGCTAATTATTTACACGGTGCAAAATATACCTTTGGAATGGACTTCCCTTCCCAATGGTTTGGTTTCCGAGATGGAGTTAGGGCTCCACCCTCTTTACATCAAGGCAACGTATTACATTACGAGATCGTTGACTAATATCAACAAGATACATTACATTACACTCAGTAGGTACCCTTAAAATGCCTAATAATTTTGACTAATCGATGCTTAGGGAGGCTCTCGAGAAAAATAATCTAACCGGTAGCTAATGGACTCCCACCCACAAAATTCCCTCAAAACATTATATGTATTTATTTATTTAATTTACTATTCAAAAAATATATTTTTAAAACCCCGGATTAATTAATTTGAGTGATTGAATTTAAGTTCATGGCATCCTCACGTCATGTTGGTGGGCTCTTGCATTGGACACACACTAATATTAAAACTCGATATCATATGTTTGCGATATTGCACATTAAAAGTCATGCAACATAAGATGTCCACAAGCATCGAGCCATCGAGTGAGGCATGATGAATCAACAAGTTCATAGCAGTGAGACGCTCCCAAGCAACCTCTCAACTCTGGTCTTGTGAGTCTTCTAACTTGTTAGTGATAAACACCATAGCGTAGCGCTTTTTACCCGTCGTTATCTCTCTAAAATCTTTAGTCCTCTGAGACACGACTAGATAACAATCGACCAAGACGTTGGGTAGCTCAAACTTAGTTTAAAAAGAAACCCATTATTGAAGTTAATGACAAAGGGTATTGTCCTAAGCAAAGCTAAGTACACAAAAGAATAGAAGGAAAGAAAAGGCAAACCAACAGAAGAAGTAACAAAGCTCAATCACACATCAGACAATAATAATAATACACAATCAATTTTTTCAATCAAAAAATTCCCAACTGAACTTGGGCTGAACATGGCTGCTGCTGTTGCCTGCTGCTGGGATTGCACTTGAAGATGATGTTGCCACCAACGGTGGCATCCCGTCGAATATCTCCCATCTCGTCGTCACAACTGTTTCTGATGTCGATAAATCCCCCGTTGAGGGCTCCATCGGATGTCTATCACGATGATCCGGAGCTCGTTTCGCATCCGAATTCCTCTCCTGAACTTGCATCGGAGTTTGGTTTTTGTTTTTGATCTTCAATACGTCCAAAGTTTCAACGTACTTTTGCACTCTTCTCACCTTCAAAACCAATGAATTCTCAATATAGGTCCTTTTTTCTTAAGAAAACGAAAGGCAAAGTCAAATTTACCTGCATTTTCCTCTGTAACTTCACATCTCCATCCCCCATAATCCCATCCAATTTAAGCAACTGATCCATAAGCAACTCGATCAAATTCAACACGGTTTTCTCTGCCACTTTCCCGCCTTTTCCAATCACCGATTCGAGCGCTGAAACCTACACGATTCGTGTACTAAAGACGTCGAACCAGACACTGATTCTATTTAAGTTTAGTCTCTAAAGTTTCGAGATTTATACCTGACCCGCGAGCCTATCGACCTCCAAGCTGATTTGGGAAATGGATTTGGAAGCCTTTTCCAATTTGGCATTCTTTCTCATCTCAAGCAGCCTTTTTTGTTGGCTAATTGGGTCTTCAACAAGCAATATCTTGGACCGATCCTTAACGCCGCAAGTGTCAAGAAATGCCTTAGATTCCCTCTCTTTCTCTTTGTATATCAGCTTCTGGTCATGCTGGTGCAGCCCTGTCGGACCCACCAACATTTTCTTCAACTCCCCTGTAAACACCCATCAATATTTCTAAATGGTCCCTCGACTTTTGATTCTTTTCATTTTAGTCCCTGAATTAGAACCCAAAAGAACAATGAATTGAGGGAAATTCTTACCGAAACTAGCTTGTGAGCTAATGGGGATTTCATGGTACACTAAGCCGTACTTGACTCGGACACGTATTGTCGGAGCCAGAACAGAGGTTTTGTCGGAGTCGGTTCGCTTCTGGACTAGCATTCCACCGGGTCTCATTTCCCAATCCATCGGCCTTAAATCGGCGTTTGTCGGCGGCGCCGGTGGGGGTTTAGTCTTTGTTCTCAGCATCTTCCCCGCTTCAACGCCGGTTCCTTCTTCTGGGTTTTTTCAGGATTTACAAACTGAATCGAGAAATGTCAGATCTCCGGCGGCGGCCCGATCTGTGACGACGGGGCTGCAAGACCCTATTTGGGTACCCACTAATTCCAGCATTACACAGAAAAGTGGGAGGAAAAGAACAGAAAAAAGGATTCTTTTTTCAGCTCTGTTTCTTCCGCCGCCGCCAAACAGAGGCTAAACAGAGAGAGATCTCAGATTTTCCGGGAAAATTAAGGGAGGAATCGGTGAATTTTCCCAAGAAAGTGATGGGAAAATGAATGTGAAAGAGAAGGAACAAGGAATTTCTCTGCTCTGCTCTCTTTCTTCGTTGGTGTTGTTGGCTATGGCGTTCTAGAGAGAGAGAGAGAGAGAGAGAGAAGAAATAATTTTCAAAGAGAGTGGGCAGCTAACATAGCTGTTTTGCAGCTTGCTATATAAATAAAATTATTGCAATCATTACAAAATTAAATTAAATTTTATTATTTAAAAAAAAAAAAAAACACAACAAATTATTTTGCAATGGAAACCTCTACCTTCTCACTAGCCTTTTACCATCTAAACTCAAATAATTTATTATCCAAAATATAAACTAATAATAATAATAATAATAAATCCCATTTGCATGAACATTCAATTTTGAATTGGTTGGTTATAGATTAGCCCAATAGGTTAAGTTTTCAGATGGTTGGAACTATATTTTTGGGTTGGTCCGGTTGACTAGACCATAAAGATTTGGATAGTATTAGTTGTTCAAGTCATTCATGTTTATACCGTACTTTTTATTAGTTTTTTCAATAATTTTATAGATTATTGAGTGGTCAACCGAAGGATTTGACTCCATTAAAATTTACTCGAATTAGAGAAGATATTTATTAAAAATAATTAAATATTATTTAGAAGGTTAAAAAAAATTAATTATCCAAAAATTTGAGCGCAACTAACCCATGTGAGTTTGTTCAAGTTTAAAATTAATTAATTAAAAAATCTAAATATTTTAGAATAATTATAGTGTGTACAAAATATCCTTAAAAAATAAGAGTAATTAATTAAGATCATAACTACATTATTATATACTTATTCGTAGTTGACTATATTTAGCATAATAAAGGTTTAATATATAGTACAAAATATCCTAAAAAAAAAATTACACATATTTTGTTCCTTAATGGTTGTAATTATCTCAATCAATTATTAATTATAATTTTTTTTTTTTTTGTTAAATTAACATTTTGGTCTTTTAATTTTATAGTTTATGCACTTTCAGTTCTTCAAGCTTAATCCACATAATTTAATTAATTCTGAATCTAATTTTTAAAAATATTTTTTATTAAAATTAATTATATAATAATAATAAATTTTGAAAATTTATTTATTATTTATTAGATGAAAAAGAAAAGGCGGGCATAAGGTAAGTGGAAGAAATATGCAGAAATTGGAGGGGCCGGCAAGGCAATAAATTTAGAAGCGGAGGAATGTTCGCATGCTTTGTGGTGCACTACAACAGTACCGTCTCTCCACTCCCTGCCTGCCACGTATTTTATAATTCTAAATTAGTTTCTCTCCTTTAACCAAAATTATTTATATCCAAATTTATTAGCTTTGATTTAAGCTTTTTTTTCTCCTTTTGTTGATGAATTTCGCTTCACAATTTCTATTTTGTTTATTTTTTAATGAAATTGAAAGCTAAATTTAGGTAAAAAAATGAATTTAATTTGTGTATTTTCAATAAGTCATAAATTTAGTATATTTTTATTTAATAATTCAAATATATGTATTAATTAATTAAGTATATGGTTAAGGAACTTTAGTGTTGCTCAATCAATGTCCATAAAATAATAGTGGAATTCGGATGAACACGTGGCGGTAATTTATTTGATGTAATGTGACGGTCGGTGAGCTTAGCTTTTCCTTTTTTTTTTTCTTTTGTTTTTTTAATTAATTAATTTAATTTGGGTGGCGTTGCCGGCACCCGCAAACAGAGCCTTCAGATTGGTGACCGTTCATTGTCGGTCAGCGGCTACAAGTATTTATTTATTTATTTATTTATTTGGTTTCGGGTGTAGCGTATTTCGCGAATTTGGACAATTTTAATTTTCGCTGTAATTTAAGGAAAAGGAAATTGTTTCCGATCATTATTAAATATTATTTTAAAAGTAAAAATTAATATTTGAAAATTTTAAATACAAAAAGTCAATATTTAAAAAAAAAAAAAACAAAAACTTACTTATTTTCATGTAATATATTGAATAATCTCAAATGTCACATCTCTCCCTATCTATCAGCCATTTTTTTCAACTCAAAAGGACATTTTAACCTCTTGTTTGTCCCAAACCAGGGGCATAACCGTCATTTCCTAAATAAAATTGGGAACTGAGAAAGGGCAAGAAAAAAAAATAATAATAAGTTTGACAAGTACAGAACCAGAATGCCTGAGAGACCAATTAATGGGACACGTGGCGTTCATTCATACGCTGCTGGAGGGAGAATTCCACCGACACTTTTACACGCGTGATTCGCACGTGTGTTCATACCCTAAAGCAAGCACACCCTAGTGGAATGACCGTACTGCCGAGACACCCCACGTGTGGAGCGTGTGGAGGGCCGGATTTGGTGCTGACGCACTTGCGATGTTTCCGGTGTAACTGACTGCGGTCGTAGTGCCGGGAGCTTTTTTTTTTTTTTTTTTTTTTTTTTTTTTTTTTTTTTTTTTTTTTTTT